CTCCGAGGCTGCGGGTACCGAGGCTGCCGGTGCAGGGGGATGGGGTGCTCCTGCGTCTCCCCCGGACACGGGCTCATCTAGGCCCAGGGAACATTGCCGAGGGCAGAACGCGGTGCTGGCACAAAGCACTCAAGGGGGTGAGTAGCAGTGGCGCTGAAGGGGGTTTTGCTTCACAAAGATGGCGTCCAGGCCGCGAGCTGGACAGACACCTCCCGCAGGCTTTACTCACTCTTTACACAGTGAGGAGCCTTCAGCACCACGCTGTCACTGCTGGAAATCTGAGTTCCAGTCCGTACCTGAGGTTCTGTGGAAGCGGGTGAGATCTCTTCCTTGGTGAAGATGTCATACAGCAGACACCAACGTTAAGTAAACAATACCAGCACTTAAAAGGAATTGGTTTCTTCATATGGTGCAGATACAGTGCTCAAATTTGTTGTGTTGTAACCCTTTAGTATAACAATCTTTAGTAACTGCCTCAGACACTTATTTCTAAATATGTAGTGAAGCAAGACTAAAAGGAAACTAAAGGAGGGGGGAACAAAAAGGTAGTTATTTTATATACTGAGTGGCACAGTGACTAAAGTTAAACATAGGAGTTTCAAGCACAGTCCATTCACCTCTCCCTAAAAACCCAGGGAGGTTAGGACACTTGGTACTGTTCAAAATCAGGCACTGAATGTCCAGACATGACTCAGCACCGATTACAAAAGAGCCTCATGTTAACTTTCTACACAGTGACCTGGCTTACAGTGATTTCATTGTGTGATAACGCTTAGTTCACCGAAACAATAATTAAAACCAAAAGAAAAAAAATCCCTTTTAGATCAATTTTGCAATAATAGTGCAACAAGAAGCCAATCAAAACACAAGAGTTTTAATTATAGAACTAAAAAGGCTAATATTTTATTAACACATAAGGGAAATGCCAGAACTCTAATGATCTCCACAGTAAAAATGCAAAAGACTTGTGCTTTAAACATCACCGTAACATGCTACAGGGCTGCGTCCTCCCTCCCCTGCTCCTCTCCCCCTTTTTCCAAGGGCTACTCAGAAATGCCTCACTGACATATTGCAAATGAAACTTCAAATGACCATTCTAAAGCAGATACTCATCACAGTCCTTTTCAGCCCAAAGTCTGTGTATCACACAAATTAGAAAAACAACCCTTTAAATGAGAAATATTTCAAAATGCAGATACTACTACCTACACTTCAAATCTGACTTTCTACAGAGCAGTTCAAGTATTTGATAAATCAGATCAAACATTCACAAATGCTTGTCTTTCCATTTTTTTCTTACCCCATTTCCATATTTTTATCTTAAAAATAATCTTTAGCATGCCACATACTTCCTAGAATACACCTAAGCACAGCTTTCCCTAGAGCTAAGAATTTTAACTCCACTACTGCCAAGCATCCCACGCCACACATTCTCACCATATGATGGAGAGTAGCTTTAGAGGGACTTATTTAAACTGTAATATATGCAAGTTCTAAATATTTTACTTCCTATAGAGAGGTCTTTCCTGGGAAACTACAAATATTTCTGTCAAAATGATGACTTGAAAGAGTGAAGTCAAGAATATACATTGGTTTTGTTTCCACTGTGACTTGAAATTTTTTGTTTGCATTGATGTTTAAGTGCGTAACTAAGCTAATTTTGTTTCTACAAAGTGTTTGAAAATAGAAGTGAAATCTAATGAGACACGTATGCACAGGACAGGGCTGCTCTAACAGGACCTACCTCCCTTTCGTATTTAGAGATGAAAAGCAGATTCTTCTGTAAACACATGATGCAGCATCATCACAACCCAAGCCAGCCACGTCTGAAGGACAAGCTCACCACAGCTTGAAGCAGACCCAGAAGGTGGCCTTGGCTTGGCAGTACTCAAAGGCTTAGACCTTGTTTAGAGAACTAAGGTGTGGACTGTTTCAGAAGTTTTGCCATGACTTGAGTACAATTTGGTTTCCACATCTGGTAAAAAAAAGTGATGAATTACGTTATTTCAGTGGACATTTTGGCATAGAAAGCAGGCGCACTGAAGTATGCATCTGTTATTTCCAAAAAAAGCCACACAATTCCATTGGTCTGGTTTAGAGAACTGGCCTGGCCTGCACAAAGGCAGTGTTTAATTCAGAGGATGGGGAGGAGGAGAAGGGCAGAAATAACACACCAAGGATAAACAGGAACCTGCAGTCAGATTTGCTCATTTGTGTCAAAGAAACTGTATGAGGGAAGAAGCTTCAGAAAACTAAGTGCAGTCTGCTGTGCTACAAAGATCTTCTCCTGCACAGCTCAGGAGAAGGACGCGCTGCCGAGATATTAAAAAAATAATTCACATCCTTGTCATCCATCGGGTTCACAAGCGGTGAGCTAAGATGCAACAAATCCAAGAGGAAAAATTAGGACAGTTTTGCTGTAAGCTTCAGCTGGTCACAGTGGATTAGAGGAAATCCTTCAGCCAGCAAGAGAGGCGACTGGAATGGAAAATCCCAGCTCCCAGCAGGCAGCCGCCGCACCCCGCGGGTGCCGCTGGCGGGCACACGGACGCGCACGCCGAAATGAAGACAAAGCATCTCATTGTCAAGTTGATTTTTGTAAATGGAAAAAAATGTATAAAATCTATCCATACATTAACAGATACAGGAAGTTACACAGTCCAGTTTACACCTAAAGTATTAGCAATCAGTCCATAATAAGAACAGGAAAAATTCCAAGGCTGTAATTTGTCACTACAGGGCAGAGGACAGCAGGGGAAAGGTGGTTGGCTTCTTTTTCTTTTATTTTTGGTGTGTGGATAAAACTGGCTACCTTCCCTACTTCAAAAGCAATGAGACAATTTCAACAGACATGTATTAGGAATACTTCTGAAATGCATCTGACGCTAACCATTAACACTGAATATTCAAAGATTCATATTATTACAGCATAATGCTTGGATACTTTTGCCTCCAGAAAAGGGAGTGGGCAGTAGGTACTATCCAAGAGAAGTCCTACCCCCATTTTAGAATTAACAGCATTGATTGAGTTAAAGATTTTTATTTCATCATTTCTATCCATCCTGGCACACTTAAAATTTGTGTATGCTCAGCTCAGACATTTACAAAGCATGCAGAGACTGTTACTACTTCAAGGAACATTTAGGAGGCTATGATGCTGGTTTGGTACTGGTCTAATTTTAGTGAACTCATGTCTACCATTACATGCAAGCCACACCTGGCAGTAGTTTTCCCCTCACGCCTCCATTTGGTGGGGGTCCCAGAAGAGAAGGCTTGAATGAATGGGCATGGAAGCTCAGGTACCGTTTTAAGGAATAAAGCAAAGCAACTACTAGCAGGGGCCAGCTTGTGGGAATGCCTGCCCTGTTACTGGTGCACCTGTGGGTTAACAGTGTCAGTCTAGGGCTCAGAAAAGATGCCTGACTGAATTTTAAAGGAAAAGGGAGGTACCTTAAACCCTGAAAAGACAGACTTCCTGTGTTTGACAGGTGTATTGAATATACACACACAAAGCAAGACAGTAAGCTGTGCTCATCCACCCATAAGACCACACCATTTTTCTGAACACATAGAATATACACCCCTTTTCAAAATAACAACAGTAATAATAATAAAGCGGAAGTGCAGAGTCCAGACTGTTGGGTGGTCTGTGTTAAAAAAACATACGAAAGAATAAAAGCTAATGCTGTAAATATAACTATTCCCTTTCAAAGCAAAGGCCACATAAAACTGTGTTGCTCAGTTTGGTTTTTACTTCATGCCACCTGTAAACACAAGACTGGATATTCAGTTTCTGGGAAGAAATGAAACCACTTTTACATCTGGAGTAAAAGAAAGGCCCTCCACTGCCTGGATCACAACCTACCAGGAAAAGGTAGCTGGGGGAAGGCTTCCTCTTCTCGTTTGTTCTTTTCATTAGAAAGGTGATATCTGAACAAAAGAACTTTCAATAAGAGCACAAAACATTTCTTGATGTTATTTCTGCCCTCTGTCTCTAAAGTTTGCTACAGGGACTAACACTTTCCATTTCTCACCAACAGACACATCACCTTTTTTGGCACCATGGGTGGAATTTCTTCCTAATGTATAATTTTGCCTTCTACAGAAGTCGATTGTCTAATCATGCAAATCCAACAGAACTCCAAAAAAGTGCCACAAGACAGTTCAAATCTTTGCAATCTACTACCTAGTTTGTACACTGCTGTAGGAACCTCCCAGAGAACAGACTGTCATCCTTCCTTAGATTTGACCGTGTATTTCATATATGGCATTTCATCCTCTCTCCCTTTGGGGGAGAGAATCGAAATCCACACCCTGATTCCATCGATTTTTCCACTCTCAGAGCTCTGAAATGCATGTAAATTTCTTTGATTTGTTGAAGACATCTTCACTGAACAGCCTGATTAGAGAAAAACTTACTGATTCAATCAAAGAGAAAATAAAGACAAAAACAGGTAGTGGTAGATTTCTCAATCTTTGCTTCTGTCCTTGGAGAGTAGGGTAGAGTTTTACTGCTACTGCATTTTCCCCAGCTGGATCTTCTTCCAGGCCTCTGATGCTGTGAAAATACAGGAGTCGAGGATCCCAGCTACAGTAAATGTCCCGCCAATGATGGCACATATCTGAAACACAGAGAGAGGAAACAGGTTTGTCAGAGATGAGGGAAACTTTTATGCAGCTTGAAACTGAGGGGAAGGATATTATTGCCTGCTGCTGGGGTGTTTTCTGGAAGCATCCAAAGAGCTGGATGTCCCCTGGTACTGGGGACGTTATTACATGACAATCATTCAGGAAAACCATTCTCTACAGTGGAAGAACTTAGTGCTATCCTGAACTCATCACAGCCTGAGTCAATCATAAATCCCAGCTCTTGGGAGCCTACGGCATGCATGCTGTTCCTTCTTGGGCTAAACGCCACCTAACAAAGCTTTCTAGAAGCTCTGTGTTGCTCATATATTCCTACTACTGTTTTCTATTATAAATACCACAGCCTTGTAGTCTTTTCCCTATTTCACAAGATACAGCATTTGCAAACAGGCAAAAAGACACTTAAATAGCATGTGAAGGACAGTGACTAACAGAGAAACCTAGCTACCAGTGACACCTACAGCTAAGTCTGTCTAACACTTTCCATTACAGGGCTGCTTGCAAAAGTGCTGCCAGGTTAACTCTTTGTAGGCCAAAGTTTTCCATGCAAGATGTCCTGGGTTGAATTATTTAAACATCAGTAAGAACACATAATCATTTTCTAGAACAGAGTTGGGAAAAAATTCATCTCCTGATTAGCATAACAACCTAATTCAGTTCTCAAGTGCTAGTAAAACACAAAATTGTTCTGACATGTAAAACCAAAGATACTCTGGCTTGGATCACTCAACATCATGGGGCATCAGTTATGGACTTTGCAACCCATTGCTTCATTTCCTTATCTATGAAATCAGGATAATGCCAAACCTGCCTTCCAGGGACACTGCAAAGGAAAACACATTTGAGGGGTTCAATGCCATGACAATAGCTGTCTCAGAGTCCTTGTGGGAACATATGACTCGTACTTGGTTAACACAAACCACCTGCTAGTGGCAAGGCAGCAGTCAAACACCCCGGGATGGGCAGAAACGCTGCTCCCAGGGCGCCGCTGCACGAGGCAGGGTTCACATGGAAAGTATGAGACACAGCAGTGTAACCTAATAACGTTTAACAGCCACGTTATAATTACACAGGTCATGCCATTTCCTAACTCCCACATTTTTGACTTCAAAACCGTGATGCTCTTTTAATTTGGTCTTTTACATTACATAGGATTAGGTGGCTTGGAGAATAACAGACACCGGGTCAGTGTGTAGGGGACAAGATACAAAGCTTATCTCCTGAGAAAGGCCTGCTCAGGTAAAGGGGGGTTTTGCTGTGAGCTAGAAGCCGAGAGAGAGAGGAACCCAAAATCAGTAAGCCAGTGTAGCAGGGTATCAGGAAAATGCAACAGAGCTGACGCAGAAGGGAACTAGCAGCCACCGGACCTGCTGTGCCATGTGTCCTCTCCCACACAGCACTACAGCCCATGGGCAACCGACAAACGAGGAACAGCAGCAGCAGCATCCACCTCAGCAGGGAGAGCGAAGGCAGCAAGAAATAAAGCACGCATCTGCCTGTGTACTTATAACCAGTGAGCTCGGTGAGATGAAGAGCTGCAGCAGACGTGGCTCTTGCAGGACAGTTGGTGTTCCACCAGATAAAGGCCTCAAAAACTAGAGCACCAGCCTGAGGCCAGGTCAGTATTTTGAGGGGACGAGTGCAGCTCCTGTGCCCCGTGCCCCCTCCTCACTGTCCCTCAGAGCATGACGCAGGGTGACTTCAGGGAGAATGACCGCAATGGAGCTGGATTATTTCAGTCCACAGCAGCTCAGCTGACAGGAGCTCTTACACTGCATACAACACTAAAACCACCCAACATGAAGATTTTGCATCATACGGTAGGAAAATCTGATTTCAGTGCAGCAGTGCAAGGGGGTGGGGAATAGAAAAAAAAATACATTCATCTGCACAGCTCTGTACTGCTGAGTGTTTGTGAGTCACAGGCACCTGGCGCTCGCTCGCAGCCTGCCTCCCAGCACGCACACAGCCCTCGTGTTTCCTCCTGACAAAAAAAAAGGCAGCACCAGGGTTGGTCTCTAGGTCAGCACAGAAGCTGCACCACTATGTTTCTTTAGCATCACAGGTTTTATACGTCTGGAGCGTTGCTCCTCAGCAGCACTAAAGGAAGTTAGGCATCATGTACTTATTTATATTTAATGGCGTTTTATACTGGGAATGATCTGCGTTTGGCTCCAGAAGGCTACACGGTTTGACTCAGGTGCAACCATTAAAAGAGAAAGAAAAAGAAATACAGAAAGAAAAAGAATGACAGAAGTGTCATAATTAAAGCAGTGAGAGACCACGCAGCACAGGGAACTCGTGAGGGTTTTGAACAGAATGCAATTATAGGCCAGTAGCTGGGATACAGGCTGAAGTCTAAAGGAAAATACAAGTGGATATGTAGAAAGAAGCAAGGCTGCAAGCAAGATGACAGAAAGGCAAGTGTCAGACAGGTGACTGTGGACCTCTGCGATGTCTTAAAATCTGAAAATTGGTTTTAAGGACAGAGGGGACCAGTAGGACCTCACATAATTCCTACTAAGGTAAACTGCAGAAACCCACACAGATTTCTGGCTGACTTGCAGCACATCTTGTAGAAAAAGAGTCTTGGTTTTAAAAACACCACAGTACTTATGTCTGCCATATGTCAGTAACAGGTTCCATGTCTGAAATAATTCTCCCTGCAGCCATTCCCCCTGCCATTATTTCCAGTTTAATTTTTTTTCACACCTAGAGGGCAGACGAGTCCTCTCATATCAGGAAAAAAAAATTATTCTTTTCTTTGGATTTTGAATGATTCAGCAGAACTTTGGCTTATTTCCTGCCAGCTCTCCTCTCCCAGCTCCTAGACTGACCATATGATAAAACCTTCTTTCAATTTGGCTACTTAGAGGAACTCATAGATTTTCAGAAGTGAAACTTTCCCCCTTGCTCCACAATCTCAACCCTGAGGCCATGAATGGCTCCTCTTTATAGGGAGATGCCTTGATTTTAAGCAGCCCAGTTTAACAGGCAAAAAACTACTGTGTTTAACACTATGCCAGTGGTCTGTGGTTAACCCCACGAGCCTGTGGCAAATTCATAGCACAGTGACAGTGGCAGCACTGACCCATAAGCAATTAAAAAAAGTCTTATTTAGTACTGAATTTTTTGAAGTGTGACATGTGAAGTAAAATCTATGCTAAACCAATGCCTTTTGTCCTGCACAGGAAGCACCTCTCCCCATGGTACAGCAAATTAGGGTAATTCTTTATATCACAAAAACCCAAGGAGCAGGCAGGAGTTGGGAGTAGGTCTGCTGCGAACACAGAATGCTGCTCTTAGTGGCACTGAAGTTTTTCTGGGGAAAATTCATTACTAACAAAGAGCACCAGATAGTCTTCCTGCAGCAGAATGAGATTTCTTTGGCTCTCTGCTGAACAGCCAACTCCTCCTTCTCATCTGATCTTCATATGGGATTGCCTCTCCACAGAGTATCCTCCCCTTCAACATGACATTGTTTCCCCCCTAAAGTCTCTTCCAAGCCCCCAGGATCCTCCCCTGTCCCTGGGACACATTTAAATTCACTGAAAGCCACATGACTGCCCTAGTAAACAATCTGCTCACCAAAAGGAGTTGCAAGTGATTTTGTTGCAATCTGATTCCCTCCACCCAGCCCAGAGCCCCTCCTGTGGTTTTTAAATTAAGCAGTTGCTGCTCAGAAAAAGCTGATGCTTTCCGTGGCCAGCCCCATCCAGCAATGACTCCAGATGCCCCAGCACAGTCTCTGTCTGGACCTCAGCCCAGTGCTGATCATCACGAACTGGTCTCCAGAGCAACTGTGATGCAAAAGGCCACACTGGAGATACAGGAAGGGGCTAAAGCAGTGGAAAGGACAACGGACAGATCACGTCATCAAAACAGGGCAAGGAAACCTAGGACAAAAGGTGTTTTGTTCCTCTGCAGCACTGCTCCCCCCATCCAACCTTTTCAATGCCACCTTGAACATTGTAAAGCTTTAACTGTAGCACACAGAGCCAAGGCTGCCCTACTGTAAAACCAGCCTACATGAGAGCAAGAATAGGTCATCTGTACCAGGGCCAGATGGTCCAGACTGATAGGCATGATATAGCAGCTGTAACAAGGACCTGCCTCTAAGTCAGCCACATCTGACAAGGGTCTGGCACACCTGCCTGACATACTGTGTAACAGCTACTGCAGGTATCGGCGGCATCCTCACGTCTCCATAGGAAGGAAGTTCAGTTGGAATGGCTCCAAATGAGCTGCTTGAGACTATAGCCATTTATAAGACCAAACAAAGTAGACAAAAATTAATTTTAAAACTCTTCTTCATCAGTCTAGCAACCAGAACATGCCTAGCTAACTTTACAGGCAGGATGGGGCAAAATTCTAGCTGGGACCACCTGAAATCCAAAAGGTCATTGTGGCAACCAGTGAGGAAAGCCTCTCCTGCGGACTCCTTATGTAAACTCTGAAGCACAGTATCAAGTTCAACAAAGATGCTATTTATATGCATACAAGGGTGTTATCAGCAGTAAATCAATGCTAGCAATGGACATGACAAAAAATAATGCCAGCTATCAATCATTTCCAAACACTGTTTCCCATTCAAAACACCTCCACACCCTCATCTCCAACAGGATGCCTAAGAAACCTATGAGATAGCATATTGTCAGGAAAGAAAAAAAGGCAGTATGAGAGGCCAAGTCATAAAATGTTGATGTTTGACTTTTCTTAGGATTATATTTTGAAACCAGAGTGCTGAGAAGACAAGGTCTTAAACCATGACATTTAGATTTTGTTTCAAGTCCCTTTGTCTTGGTATTTGTGTATCCTAGTGATCACACAATTTCTACAGTTAACTGAAGGGAACTTGGTGTTTATCGTCAGAAGCTGCAAAACCAAAATCTTTAAGTGCAACACAGCCACACTGTTTATGTTACTTCCAATTAAAATATTCAAACAGTTTAAAAATCAAAATTCAAGGTCTTCATTCCAGCCAATTTATCAGCTACTTCACATTCTAACATGCCTCACTGGCACAGCAGATTGCAACTTAAATTTTAAGCCAGCTCCCTCAGGACACATTTTTTACAGTTCTGGGAGATCTTTAAATAACTCTTTGCCTAACTAGCAGTTTGGACAGTATGGCTTTGTTATAGATGCTGAGATCAGTACTCTAGGATGTTATCTGGACAGATCAAAACAGGAAAACACCTCTGGAATTTGATAATGCAGCTCTTCTCCACTTCTACCCAGTGGATCTGCCATACCCATATTAAGCCAAGCAGCAGCATGGAGTAAAACAACTGTCCTGTATTCCCTGCAAGTTAGATGATCTCATCATTAGAGAGACAGTTTATTGCAGCATGCATTACTGCATACCACATTAGCTTTGCTTCCAAGTTTCTGGCATGCTGCAATAGTGCCCATCCAGCCTAAACAGAGAGTTTGGCACTTCTGGAATAGCATAATTTTCTTTCTTCTCGTGCCTAGCTATTAAATCACATTGTCATAGCAGAGGACTTGTCAGTCATCTCCATTACACTTCAGTACAGTCCTGGTGATGTAGAGCTTTATTTCCATCATGTCACAATGCTGTGAAGTAGAAACCCAAGTCTTCTGGACAAGAAATGCTCAGAAGAGAAACGAAAGGCAGGGAGGAGAAGGGAGAAGTAGAGGTTTAGAGTAACTCACCGATGTGATAAACCTGTACAAGGGCTGTCGTCTCTCTGTGTATTTCACTGTGATGGGGCTCAAATCGTAACGAAACCAGATAGCTGGGATAATGCGGCCAGTGTGGCTGTAGGCTACATACTCCTAGAAAATAAAGTAGGGGAAAATAGGCAGAAAATCATAAGCAAACTCATTCCAGATAAGAATACTTGCAATACAAGTGCTTCTGTGGATCTGGCCTTTACTCCACTGGTTTGTACTAACGATCAGACTGAAAGAAGCAAACAGTTAATCCCAGTATGACTGCCCACCCCACACCCTTATCAAACAGGAAAATAAGTTCTTTGCAGGCTGACAATGATATAGCCGGGAACAGAGAGTGATGGTGCTTACCCTCACCATTCAAAGTTACTGAAGCAAACAGAAAGGCTGTCATTGTTTTCTCTAGCCTGTATCTGCTCTATTTAAATACAAGCAGTCTCTAAGTGGTTGCAGGTGAACTTTTTGTACTATCAGTATGTAAATCATATACTGGGACATTAATCAAACAAACAGAATTCAGTTTGCAAGAATTCTGGAAGCAGAAACTTCTGTCTGTAAGGCTTCCTTCACACTGGTACCAGCAATGTGAATGCTTTGCCCACTCAATATGGGTCACATAGAGCCCTGGTTAAAGGCCATGCTGAAAGCCAAAATGAAACTGTATACAGAAAAATATTGACAAATGTTCAAGAAATACTCCAAACTGGTTTACGAGAGCCATCTTTAAATTGCCAGTAATCACCTCCTGGATCACCCATTTCTTTAATAACAGGTACAGTGCAATCAATCAGCCACGGGACAACACCCCACTAAGACATACTGCACAATGCCATTGTAGAACTGATACCAACATCAACTTAGTGTCAGAAGTCACATCTTTTTGAGCAAATATTTTGTCTGTGCCCTCAGCAGGA